AAAACGAGGGAAAACACGTTTGCGTGTTAAGTTAGTTAAAATTTAGAAACTGTTTATCTTTGAATATTTCCACAACGTTCATGAACCAAACAACGATCTCTGGATTATAAGGGAAAAGTTTGAATACACTCAAGAGAACGATTTAGTAGTATAATAGTTTCTCTCTTGTTTAGTATATGCGTAATACATAATATCCTTCTCTCTCGCATGTAAAATGCGAGAGATGAAACTTTGTTTCAAAGGGAGAGAGAGAGAGAGAGAGCAAGAGAGAAAGAGTAATGTAAGAAAAGCTCAACAGCAGCAGTTCACGAGTGGATTTTCAAATGTAGGCTCTCTCAGCTTGGCATTTTGCTCTAACGCGAACTTTTGCTAAGGTGCGAGTGTATATATTTTCACACTTGTATTCGCCGAGCCGAGACGTCATGGAAAATTTTCTCACTGAAACTTCTTCGCGTCCTGACCGAGTCATATAATAACGCGAGAGAAAGCAAAAGTTCCGAAAACGAACGTCTCCGTTCTACTAACTATTTACATATTCTTTTACGTTTCACAAAAAGTCAAATCTTTATTACTTGGATCTAGAACGAAGGATAAAAATAAGAAAAAGAGAAAGGAACAAAAATATAAATTGTTAGAAAATGTTATTAACTTTTTTCAAATTTTGTTTTCTATTCGTGCATGAAAATTCTAAAGAAAGTAGGATTCTCTCGATGACCTTGTAACATTGAGATGATCGGTATTCTTTAACGTGCTAGAAAAGTTGATATGTTCGTTAATCTCGCATTTATCGACATTCTTGACGTCTAATCGATATTCTAGTTTACCTCGGTGATAAGGGAAAAGTACTGCTCAGCCATCTTGATGTTCTAATTCTATGGGACTGAAATATTCTCTCTTGGGAATAAGAAATTGTCACGATTCTCTTTCAGAGAAATCTTTTTAAAGAATCTATGCGGATATTCTGTGTGTGTTTGTGTGTGTGTATGTGTGATATCTCTTTTTATTTATACGTTAATCTTTCTTTTTCTCTTTTTCCCTTTTCTTTCTTTTTGTTTTTGTTTTTTATTTCTTCATTTTTCTCTTCTTTTAATTTTAAAAAATATCACGAAGATACTTGATTGCAAAGCCTTTATATATATATATATATATACTCGCATTTCTATGATATATACTCGTAGATAAATTGAAAAGATCAATATTTTTCGTGTCGATATCGTGTGTTCAATTAAGCCTAAGTAACAATTAAAAATTGCACAAATAATAAAGACAAATAAATTCTATTCAAAAATACGATAAAAAGTTATAGCGTTCTAGGAAAAAGCAATAAATATTATTATATAAATTCGAATATCGATTATAATGCAAATTAATACTCGAATTGTGTTTTCAATTAATTGATACAATTTTTACCAATTTTTTTCATTTTTATTTTATGTTCCATTAGCGAATGATATTCGTGTAAATATGATTATTTGAATATTCATAAAAATCTTTCTACACAACCCAACACGAAATGGAAAAATATTTTCAGATGGGAAGAAAGAAAATTCCTTTCGAGTTATGTTCAATAATTTTTCTCGCAAAGCATTGACGATTCTGTGCATCTACGTTCCACCCACATCTTAGGTACGAAAGACGTTCGTAGAGATGCGATTTTCGCGTGGGTTTCTCGTTGGTCCTTGCCAAAATTTCATTCATACTTTCTCATAAATATCCTTTCATACGTTACACCCCCCGCAACATTTTCACATTCGATGAACGGAATATTACATAACTTTTTAGTTATAAACATTTTTCCTCGTAATATTGTTCTAAAATTATATTTAAATGAATAAACTTTTTCGTGACTTAGAAAATAAAATCAATGCTATTATTATTCTACCAAATTATTTCCCAACTAAAAACGATTAACGGTATTTAAAAGAATAATTTCTTAAAATAATAGAACTGAATTTATACTAATTGCCTAATCAAAGTCTTTAATTAATACATCTAATTATACGATTCTTTCGATACGTTCTATTTTTCCACATTAAATGAACATTCATCCAATTGAAAAACGTTTATTAAATAAGAAACTAATCCTTGGAGGAAGAGAAGAGAAAAGGAAAAAAAAAAAAGGAAATTAGAAAAGGTTGAATCGATATTTTACAAGCGTCCTAAACCCGTGCACGTTTGCATTATCCGTTACTTTCATTAACACCGTCTATATCGATTCTTATTCCTGGATTAACGAGGAACACGTACGTGAACCAGCTTACGACTTCATAAACACCTTGATAAAGGAACGATCGAACGTGTTATTCTCATACGATTCGCAACCTACACGTATACATACATACAATCACATTTATGCCCCATGTACATTTCTATTATTTCCGAGAGAAAATAGAATGATCGGCTGACATTGTTAGAGTATTATTTTGTCTCGTAACACGTGCAGGTGTAAATAGGATTGAAAATGAGCCAGAGAATGAAAGAGAAACGTAACGTGTTTCATATATGTATTATATATATATATGTACATTCTATATACATGTATAGGTTTATACCTTACTCATCGTTTAGTTTCCGAACGAGGGGAAGATAAAGTGAATCCTAACGATAGGTTCGTCCACGAATAATTCTTGGATAAGCTTGGAGCGTGCAGGGAAGGTGAAGTAACGTTTGCATTCGAACGACCTCATTACGAGATCGCATCTCTAGCACTAAAATCTACGTACCCTTTCTCCTTTCCATCCATAGAGTATGTTATTGAAGTAGGAAGGATATAAATGATCGTGAATATTCCATCGAGTTTGAAATTTCTCTTCCTAGCGACGAGTTTCTATTTTTTCCTACAATCTGACAAGAAAGATTCACGTTTTTATTGATTCTAAGAAGAACGATGCGGTCTTACAAACTGGGTCAAACTTTGTTGATCGGTCAGTCTTGATAAAGAAGCTTCCTCGTTTCTTTCTTCCTTTTTCTTTTTTTTTTTCTTATTAAGAAACTTTGATTAAGAAAAATTAATATAAGATATATAAGTATGGTTCAACATTGACGGTAAGAAAAATCCAATTTTTTTTTCATTTAACTTGCGCAAATTCATTTTTTTGTTTTGTAAATATTTGAAATTTTACTCGTATATATATATGTATATATATTTCGTTAACTTTTTACACATTCTTGTGTTATATAATGTAAATATATTTTTTTACTAACGATAAGAGAAAGAATGAAATCTTTCAGAATTAATTAGTAGAGAGTTTTTTTTATTTGTTTCATCTTAAAATCTATAAATATAAGAGAGTGCTACATTAGAGTCACGCATACATACAAATGTATTCGTTGAGCGTATTAAAAGAAAAGTCTATCCTTCTTTTTTTACGCGAGCTGACTTTGTAAAAAATAATGTTCGCTCTGGTGCACACGTCTACCGAACGAATGGTCGCAGTAGTCCGCTCTTATCGGCAAAGATTTCTTTCTCCAAAAGCTCGATCCGTTGAAAGTAAAAAAAAAAAAAAGAAAAGAGTAGTAAGGGGTTGGCACGTTAAGAATATCCAAGATATAATGACGTAGATGTAGTAGACTAAAAATCGAAAAGATACTAAGAAAGAAAATCGAAACTAGTAATCGAGTTTTTCTCATGTCTTTGTGTCCTTTACTTTTTGTCTTTACTAATTTTTCTTTCTTTCTTTTTTCTTTTTTTAAAGAGCATCAATAAACGAAAGATATTGTCGAGTTTAATAACTTGGAAAGAGAGAGAGAGAGAGAGAATTTTTATCTCGGTGGCTTCGTACAATATTATACCTACGATATATCTTTTATCCACACACATATACAGACACACATACACACATAAAATTAATACATATATCTCTCATATATATACAAGTAGATATTGCGGTAAAAGAAGAAGCACTAAATCGTGAATCTTGTCGTCTTTCAACAGCATATTTCTTTTTCCGGCCAATAAATTTCAAGCCTATTCGAGTATTATTAAACGTCTTCGTACATTATACTTAATCCAAGATCTAATCTTCCAATTTAGCGAGCTTAATTTCGATCAAAAAAAAAGAAAAATGTAGAGGAAAGACTCTCCCTCTTCGGATCAAGCAATAAATGGTGAAATAAAATATGCTCTTGCGAGAATAGGAAAATATAATGAAAGATAAAGAAAAGAAAATTGAGGATTTTCTTTAGGAGAGACCTTTTAATGACCGTTAAAATAAAAGGTGTAACAGAAAATGTATAGACCCCTTTACCTTTATCTCTATCTCTCTCTCTCTTTCTCTCGGTAACGAGAGCAACGAAAAAGCAAGGCAAAGAGCGACGTGACGTGTCCGACGAACAATTTGGCTAGAATCCAAACCGAGCTGCTCCGAGGCTAACGACATTAGAATATTTGTCGAGTAAGTCCTGTGCCGGTAAAACACATTCGTGTTCTTCGAGGGCGAGGTCGAATATCGGTTTGACTTTTCTCTCGTTTCCCCTACCTATACTGTATCCTACCTCTACTTATTTTTTATTTTCCAAAAAAAAAGGAAAAAAGAAAGGAAAGAGTGTATGTTAGTAATAAGAGAATGCCTCGTTTTATTGTCAGCCACATTCGTTACTCTAAATAAAGTATACCCACGTAGTATTTGTTTCTCAACCCTTAATGATGTTCACTTTTCTACTATTTTCGAAGAAAATCTTTCGAAAGAATCAAATGATCATACCCCAATTTTTATCGATATTAAATTTATTTACATTTTATGAAAAACAAAAAAAATAGAAACTTTATTTGATAATTAATTGTAAATCATAACGAACACACAATATAGATATTCAACGAAGAAATAAATATAATTTTAATGTATTTTATGATCTCGAAATGAGATTAAAAATTCTATTCTATCATCATTCATTTGTTCTTTTCACGTAGTAATACTCGATATCGAGAAAAGTACAAAATTTGAATTGATATATATATCTATTCGTTTCTATTCTATAACGTTTTCATTCTTTTCACACAGCCGACGAAGGTATGTTGCTAAAGCTGGACTTTCGTGACGAGTTCAAGCTCGAAGACAGTCCCGAGTGCCGTTTCGATTTTCTCGAGGTGCGTGACGGCAAACACGGATATTCGAATCTCTTGGGAAAGTTTTGCGGCTCGAATTTCCCGCCTGAGATCACTTCGAAGACGAGATACCTCTGGCTACGTTTCAACAGCGACGAGAATATCGAGGGCAAGGGATTCAAGGCCGTCTGGAGCATGATACCTAGACCAACTTATCGTAAGTCTATTCTAGTAGAGTCGATTTTCTTTTCAAGCTCGTATTCCCGACCCCTTATACACTAAATTCCATCCTAACATCCACCAACTCCTTTTATGATTATTTTTTCATATTTTCATACCTCGATATCTCAATATATTTTTTTATCTTATGTAAATGTATACAATATGTAGGTATTACATAAATCTCTTAGACGAATACCCCATCTGCTTCACTCGTATTTTTTTCATATCGATTGCTTATTATCAATATCACGATACATCCTACACCATACTCACATCTTTACATTTAAATTTTCACATTCAAAATATTTTTTTTATGATTTTTTATTACAACGACCTCGGTAAGAATATAATTGAGTAGTTGAAAAGGAAACGAATGTAAGTAACATATGTCTAACACTAAACCTATACCGATACTTTAAGTATAATTATTCCTACGATGAGAGATTAAATGACTGCTTTAAACAAAAAAACATATATCTTAATATAGAATGAGATTTTAATCAATTGGATAGTGAACAAATTATTTTATTTCATTTATATATATATACAAATGAATAATATACATTTTATGCATTTTTACCAAACTTTTTACAAATTACAAGACCCGGTTATTTGACCACGTATGGTAGATTTAGGGTTAAAATTTGTGCATAATTACAAACTTTACGATTTAACAAGAAAAAATATATAATATATAATACGTTACTTGTACCTCTTTCCCTTTCAGCCACTTAATTAAGAGAATCTAGTTTCATTCGATATTATTCATGATACTGTTAAAAGGAATGATGAATGATCGATTAGAAGGATGTTTCATGCGATCGTCGACGTATCTATTCAATGAGCAAGGACAATCGAGATCTTCCCGAAGCTAGAGTGTTCTGATCGTAACGATTATAAACGATTCATGCGAATGGAGAATGGCATAGTGGTGAATACATTTGGTAGCTTCCTCGCGTGGCTCGTAGACCCCGAAAATTAGGAGACACTTCGAGAATGGATGGTCGAGCGAGCTGCGCCGAACCATAGTAGTTAAGAGGAGGAGGTGGTGGTGAAGAGAAAGGGGCGGAGGGGATGGGGGTAGAGGGGTCAGAAGGGTTTGGGAGGGGCAGTACCGTTCGTACCTACAGTCAGAATTAATTCATACTCATCGGAAGGAACCGAGAATGGGACTATGAATACGTGGAATACAACCGTGTCACTACTATCACCATTCTGGTATACCGTTCTGGCTTTTGTCGAGAATTATCAGGTAGAACGCGTTATCACTAAAGACGGACAACTACAACGCACAATTGTTTGAACTTCCATCGCGTATTTCAATCCCCTTAGATCGAATCTTTTTAAAATAATACTTTCTTCTGAAGTTTCTATTGTAATCTCTTGAACACATGCAATTTTAATGCAAACTTTTGTTTTAATTACACGAATAAAAGTATCAACCCGCTTATGAATGACAGAAATATTCATTGTTCCCAGTGGAAACATAGCCGTCATCCATGTTTCAGGCTTAAGGGATAAATTTAGAAATTTTTCTTTTATCCTTCCTGATTTAACGAAATATTTTTCGGTAAAGGATTAATAATATAAATCATTTTATCATTGAATAAATATCTTGGATTTGTAAAGAAACATAAAGAAAAACGATGAAGAGAAAAATTTGAAGAAAGATCGAACTGTGTCCGATCCGAATCCCAATTCGAAACTTTTCTCATAATAATTTGAAAAAGAAGATTCGAAAAATAGATACGAACGGATACGAGATAAGGATATTGCTCGTAAGTACTCGCCCGAATCTTACGCATTGATACGTACATACGTTCATATATATATATACATACATACATACATAAAATATTTCTCTATCGACCAATCCTTATCATACCTTTTATCATAAAAGTCAAGTATGGATGCGAGATATTTTCGAACGCTTGGATCTTATCGAAAATTTATTTCCACTGTTCGAATGAAAAACATATACATTTTTAACTTACAAAACGGAACAAACTTTTTTCTTCTTTTGACTTCCGGCAAAATCTTTCCCCCCCCCCCCATCAATGGAAGTTAATAATTCGAAGATAGAAAAATAAAAAAAAAATGTAGATAATATGATATTGAAATCGTTTGAAATCGAGCTTAGGGAAAGTGTAGAACTGTAATAGGTGTGATTCACAGCCGGAGTGCCACCAGAGATAGAACCATGCATAGTTAATGTAACTGGTGATGAAGCCATAATCAGCCATAGCGATGTCGAGGATAAAAAAAAAGTAGCTGAGAAGGAGGGCATACCTTTGGACTGTATGTGGGTGATAAGAGTGAAAGAAGGATTGAAGGTAACATATTTCTTCACACATTTTTTACATAATTAAAAATTTAGAATAATCAGACAATTTTTTTGTTATAATTAAAATTGCAATGTCACATTTATATTTCATCTTAGTACTAAAAATGATTTTCTGAATCAATCGATATTATTGACAAATTAATGTTTAAATTGGCTTGTATTTAGTATATTTCCGCTACGTTTATCACTTTTTTCGTTCTTCTTTTCCGTATCGCTTTTTCTTGTTACCTTGATTTGTAAAAAATGAGTTAACTCGTGAAGTAAATGTCTGGAAATGTAGATACCCATGTTTAACAAGACGAGTGATATACTTGCCTACAGTCTTCTTAATTACATGAAGAAATCTCTATAGTAAGTCTTTGTCTTAAAAAAAAAAAAAAAAAAACAAAAAAGAAAAGGAGAAAAAATGTTTTTAGAACAAACCTGTTACTCTCATCGTTGTAACAAGATATATTATTCGTTTTTCTTTTGGGGAAAAATAAAATAAAAAAAAAAAATAACGAAATTGCGTTCCGTTACAGATACAACTAGCATTCCCGGACTCGAATCATTTCAAGTTACAGAGGCCAAATGAATGCGATGCCAATTTTCTCGACGTTTTCGAAGAAAAAACAGATCTGCGTTCACGTTTGAAGAACTTTTGCGGTAGCATAGCCGATACGGTCATAGTTAAATCAAATTTAGCTTATGTCCGTTATTACGCTGAACCTAAAGCATTGAACAGCACATTCGAAGGTGTCATGACTGCAATCAGGGACAAGGATGCTGGTGAAACATGTGAGTTAAAAAATCCATAGGAATTATCGACTAATTTACAAGACGCATCACATTCAAACTATTTTATTTTTCTATCTATCAATAAAATATTTTTTTCAATATATCTATACACTTATATACATAAAATATATAGTTATTTTTAAAATTGCAAAATATCTTTAATATTAGTTATCTTTATTTGTATGCATTTAATTTATCATGGTTATAACATGTTATCATTGAAATTCATTATCATTTATATAACTCTCATAACAGTTATTATTCAACATTTAATATTTAATAATTACAATGTAATAATAAGTATAATAAGATAACAAAATATAATATGAAACAATATAAACTTTTAAATTGAAAAGAAATCGTATAAAATAAAATATATTAATATTCAAATCCTATATAATGCTAAATTATAAAGAAAAGTATACTAAATAAAAAATATATAATATTCAAAGTATCCTATAAGTTGTACGATTTTGGCAATTCTTCTTTATATATGTAAATAAAATGAACAAAATTAATTTTTCTTTTATTATATTCCTTTGATAAAATGATTATTTCAATGATAACAAGAAATACGCGATGATTCAATCGGTGATAGAAATAATTTACAAAGAGAATCGTGTACATTTTGTTCGTTTTAACGAAAGAGAGAAAATTGATTCAATTAATGCTTGTTAAATTCATATACATATACTTGAATTATACGTTGATAATTTACTTAATACGTTTATATTTATGCGGTCAACGGACTGATATTTATTAACTTGCGAAATATTTGAATAGATTTGATATCATTTTAATAGAAATTTGAAGATTAAAGGATATCGTGCATAATCAAGTGATTGATGATAATAAACGCTGGATGCTACTATGCGAACCATTAATTACATGTCATTTATTATTAGAGAAGTATGATAACTAGTTGTAAATATCATGAAAACGCTTTTAAAATTTTGAAAGAATATCAGCAAACTATAACAAAAAAAAAGAGAGGAAGAGGTACAAAAATTCAGTCAATAGAAATAATACCAAAGACTGATTTCTTAATAATATAATAAAGAAAATCGATTTTTTCACGCTTGTTAATAATTTTTAATTTTTTTTTTCCTGACAAGCCTCATTTGTTCTTTCTTTTTCTGTCCTTTTCCTATATTACGAACAACGTGGACCATCCCAGCGTTAAAATTAATTAAATTCAACGCTCGCGTGACTCGTTCGGACATGTACGTTTTTGTTTTCGCAGATTAAAACCCACACACGTATTACTCTCTAATGAAAGTCTTAAAATTAGCGTTGATATTGTCCAGTTTTTGCAATAAGAACATTATAGAAGTAATATTGTTGCAAAACTTTCAAAGGCTTTTTGACTGTATCAGAATAGTCATCGAAATGAATGATTAAAAAAAAAAAAAAAGAAACGTTACAATAAGGATAAAAATTTATTTTCATTAATTACATTGGCACTAAGGCTCGTTTATATATTTTTTATTAATAATCTCAATGATTTATATATATATATTTATAAAATAATAATAAATTTTACTCGCGGATAATATATATATATGTGCATGCAACAATAGTTTTTCGTAACATTTTTTTCTTTCGGAAAATGACATAGCAATATATATACTGGTAATATATTTTATATTAACTTATTATTAAAATCACACAAGTAAGACAAATTTTATTTGAATATATATAATTATATACACATTAAATATTATCAACAAATATATTTTTACGAATTATTTAGATAATAAATTGTATTGAAAAAAAAAAAAAAACAAACATAAGTAATTAATTTTATAAATATGAAGAAATTTTAAAGGGTTGCGTCAGGGTTTGTTCTTTGATGCACACAACCTCGAAGGATTATAAATACAAACACGTATTAGGTAGTATCTATCTTTACTCTAATAATTATATAACTATGTTATTTAAACGACGATAATCATTCGATAAAGGCCACGAATTCGAAATTATCCCTCGCAAATCCGGTATGAATCATAAATGAGGTAAGCCAAGCAAATTCGCAATTACGTGTATGGAATTCGCGTTAGATATCGAAGAGAAATCCTACAGTTACGACGATCAAACCTTGATACCTATCTTGATATCTAGTGCTGCGAGAGAAGGGAATATTAAACGTTTAAAGGGAAAAATCCAACATATATTATATATCTTCGAACATTTCATCAGTTATATTATATTAATACAAAATTCAGTTAACGCTTTTCTTTCTTTCTTTCTTTTTTCTTCTTGTTTTCTTTTGTATTTACGAAAGAAACAATGTTATAATAAAAAGCAAAGGAAAGAAAAGAAAAAAGAACACACATAAAGTTTACCCTTTATCACGAATACGAGTTCTCAGTTTTTTATTTACGAGAAAGAGACGTGTTTTCCTTTTATCTATCTATCTATCTATCTATCTATCTTGCTGTCTCTTTTATTCTTTATCCGTCTTTCTCTTTATCTCACATACAATCAGTTGAAACGTCGCAAGAGTTTCAAAGGGATCCTTTAAATTTCGCAGCATGCAGAAGCGGAGAATACGACTGCGAGGACGCGACCTGCATCGCCTCGATATTACAGTGCAACGGAAGAGTCAACTGCCGCTTCCGGTGGGACGAAGACGATTCTACATGCGACGTGAGTGGTGACTCTCTCTATCCAAGAAGAAAATCCAATAACCGACTTTCTATGATCACACTACTAGAGGGTGCTTTCCAATTCTCGACTTTGAAAATCGCCGTGCATCCAGTTCTCTCCCTTTTCTTGTCGAATCGCGTTATTTTCAAGCACTTTCTCACTCTCTCTATCTCTCTTTAACCATCTATCTATATCTTTTTTTTTCTCCCATTTTCTCTATTTTCTTTTTCAAAAATAAAGTTAATCCGTTTCGAGGAAAAATAACGAGGGAAAGAGAATAAAAGGGGGAAAAAAAAAGAAAATGAAAAAGAAAAGAAAAGAAGATGAAGAAGTAGAAGAAGAAGAAGAATAAGAAGAAAAGAAAAAAAGACTAGGAAAATAAATCTTCGACTCTCTGTTAGGACACGATCGTAAGAGGAAAATTACGCGTGTAAGTTTAAACCTCGTAATTCCGAGGCTTTTCGCTGTGTGTTTGTGAGAAGGGGTAGCTGCAAAGTTGACTATCGTAAGCGGTTTTATCTTTGATATAGGTACCCCAGGTACCTACCTATCTATTATACGAATTTCCTGAGGTAATCGTGCACGTTAATTATAAAACATTCTCGAAATTTCTTCAAAAAATCCTTCTCAAACAATCCAGATATATATATATATGTATGTACAAAATGCCGACAAAAATTCTATGGATATTGATCTTTAAATTCCAATATCAATAGACCCTTTCTAAAGTGAAGTATAAATTTTTCATTTGAATTAATCGCCTTTTACTACTATCAATAATTGAATATCTCTATAATCCTTTTATCGTCACATTTCTATATTTTATTCTTTCTATACGTCTCTAAACTATTTGTTTTTTTTTCATTGAAAAAGAAAACAAGAAAAATATATATTTCAAACATTAAATGAAATGTCCTTTTTTCTTTTTCTTTTTCCTATTCTGTCTAGTATTTTGTTTATTCGAGATCAATATTCGAAATAATTGACTTGAGAAACTTCAAGAAATACCTTATAATTGCTTTCTAGATATGAAGTCTCATGAGTATGATGCGTTGCAGATTTAATCCTCCGGTCTCGTTCCTCCTCATTTTGTCCTTCTCCAACTCTAATTAATTTATTCGGGAGAAGTTTTGCTTTCAACTAACTAATCTCCCTCTTCCTCTCTCTCTCTATCTCTATCTCTCTCTCTCTCTTGCTCTCTGTCTTTCTCCATCTATCTATCTTTCTCTGTCTCTATCTTTATCTTTACAACGTAACCGCGGTTCCTCCCACTCTGTTCGACCCCTTCTAACCGTCACCATCTCGTACTGCTCGTTCTCCTTTCCAGGAAGCTTTTGGGAAATTCGAACGTGTACCGTCGGTTAGATAGGTGGGTGTTTCCGCTTCCGGAACGCACAATACCATGCGCTTTTGGCAAAGTACCAGGAACAAATCCTGTAGAAAGGACGCGATGGCACCGACGGGATATTAATCTATTGTAGACGAATGACCATCGTTCTCTCTCTCTCTCTCTCTCTCTCTCTCTCTTTTTATATCTCCTTCTTCTTCTTTTCTTTTCATATAGGTGTTGTGAGCAAAGATATAAGTTTTATAAATATTTTTACGATTTATAATAAAATTCTCTTCCACTCTTTTTTATTTGATAGTTCATTTGAATTCTCGCGTTACTTCTCTAGAAACATTTACGAAAATTAATTCTTTTTGATAGGGTAACGTAAATTTATATTTTATTTCTTATAATTTGATATATTAAATTTTTAGGATTATTCCGACGATTAATTCGTTCGAGTTAACTTATAAACTGTTTGTAATTCGTTTGAATAATATTATTCTTGCGAAGTAATGGTAACAAGCTTTGAAAATAATGTTAATGTTTATTGTACTGAATAAAAAAAAAAAAAAAAGATCCCACATAAAAAAAAAGCAGGAACAGTTGAACTTTTAGATTAATCGTTCTTTAATATCCTAAATCCATTTATCTGTTTATTCATTTGAGAGATGAAATTTCATAGAGAGAGATGAAATTTCATAGAGAGAGAGAGAGAGAGAGAGAGAGAGACAGAGACAAGCTTGAAAATGTCCGATAATCTAGTTTTTGTGAGTAGATTCGTTAAATTGAAAGTTTAGCTTCTGTGAGAATCGTTTTCTATCCTTTTCCAAGGATTTTACAAAGTAAAACGGACAGGCGGTAGAGAAAACGATACGAGACGTCTATTCTTCTCGAGGCTGTTCCCGTTTCACCGAGAAACGATCGTAACTACTAAAGTTATAATAGTACAACGTTGGAAAATGATGCACATTTAATCCTATTACAAAACGAACGACCGTTACCTAGGTTGTGTCAGAAATTTTCCCCATTCACAAAGGGAATTTCCCTATGAAGCCCGTGCCTTTCCTCGTGTTTTAAAACGAATTTTTCAAAGAAAATAAAAAAAAAAAAAAAAAAGTAAAAGGAAGGGGATCTAGAAAATTTTCTGGTTATTGCGAGCACGCAGCCAGGAACCGGATGAAAATTTGTCCATCGATCGTGCACGCACGTGTTGGCGTTAAACGAAAAAAATGGAAAAAATTACAAAATTCCACGAAACGATTAGCGAACGAGCAGAAACCGCAAAATTCGCGAGAACTTGGCAAGCATGCAAATGGCGACAATTTGCTTTTGCTCTCTTATTCTCTCTCTCTCTCTCTCTCTCTCTCTTTCTCTCTTCTTCTCGCATTATCTTTTAACATTTTCTTTAATTAATCACTAAATAATTATGATTTATAATCGGCAAAATGTGTGCGACATTCGCATATTCGTTGGACTGTAAAATATAAAAATATGTTTAACTATTTTTCTCTCTCCCTTTTTTTTTTTTTTTTTTTCTTCTATTTGGTTATCTCACTCTTTGCCTTTTCTATGTCCGCGAGTAGATCTCTCGACCGCAATAAACCAAGAAAAGATTGTACGACACAATAACCGTCCTCCGTTTCGCGTGGAAATGTGAGCATGAAATTGCTCGTATGGAGAAATACATGCGGAAGCGTGACAAAATCGCAATCTGTAAGTTGGGACACACACCCGTCCTACCATCCAATTTTATTTTGGACGTAATAGAAAGTAGCATCATTCAAGAGTGAGAGATAGAATGATATATATATATAGAGAGAGAGAGGGAGAGAGAGAGTGCTGTTGGAAGACCGGCCCTCAAAAATCATAATGGAAAGCATATAACATATACATACATATGTTGAAAGCAGCCATTTTTGAATTATCCAAAATCACTTTACATATTTCGAAAAGTTAAATGCGCAATAATAATTATTCAAAAAAGAAGGAAAATAAAAATACAAAAGAACAAAATTACGAGGGAGTAAAATACAACACGTATTTAAATAATAATGCATTTGTCTGTATAAAAATGAAGGAACATATCTCTACATACATGTATGTATCTGTATATATATATATATATGGAAATGTATGATCGTTGTAAATGATACACACAGTTTTCATTTCTTTTTCTTTTTTTTTTTTTTCTTTTATTTCTCTCTCTTCTCTACTTTTAATTTAGAATTTGAAAAGAAATATGCCATGGCGTAGTGTAATACACGTTCGAGACGGGTAATTACCCGACACACATGTGATCGTCGTAAATAATACCTATACGCTACGTTTTTTGAAATATTTCCTTCTTTCCTTTTTTCTTTCATTTTTTTCTTCTTTTTGTTTTTATTTTCATTTTTCTTTCTTTTTCGAAGATACAAAAATCCGTAAGAGCACGCGTGATATTTGTCTAGTTAGACGAGTAATAGGATTAACATTGAAGAGATTTAACTTTTCAATTCCGTCGCAATTAATTTGATAGAGAATTGATTTAATAACTTCGACTTATAACCGCGATGCAATTTCGCACGAATTTCACGCTAATTCCCTGAACGTGTTACTCTACGAAATGGGTGCTAGGAGGACAGGAGTGGGAGTATTGCAAGAAGGGGTGGGGGTTAGAGAAGAGGACTGAATACGTACGTGATATTTAAAGAGATTTAAGATAGTTGGTAATTCAATTAATGCGGCAAAATTTGATCATCCGTTTAACTTAATTTCATTTCATTTGCGTGATTACCATAAGATAAAAATCTTGCGTGTTTTGTGGTTTAATGTAAAATTGCACTAGATCTAGGGTTAATGAGGAATTTAATATTTCTTTTTGTTTATTATCAAGAGTTCAAGGTTGTTTTTTACAATATAGAAATAAATATAAACTAATATTTTTCTTATCAATTATTTCTAGCAAAGATTTCTTTATTTTAAAAGTCAACCCAGTGTTTTTCTTGAAATTAATTTCTTATGCTTTATATTTTTTTCATTGCATTATATTCTCTTATTCTTTTTTAGTTACTTTATTTTTGTTTTTCTCGGAAAGGATTTCTTTTCAAACGTCGATGTTTACGCGACGGAAGAACTACTTGAATATTTAGGAAGGTACTTTTAGTATACTTATCTACTTACATAAAAGATACTACTAGTATACATATATGTATGTATCCACGTTTCCTTCGAATTTGTTCTTTTTGTGTTAGTTCTTTTTTCGTTGTTTCTCCATCCCCTTTAATTACTTCCTTGCAACGGAGAGTTTTCTTTTGTGTGTACGCAGTAGCAATAATTTCTTTTTTTATTGCGACTATTTCGATAGAAAAGAAAAGAGATCAACAAAAAAATAGAAAGAAAGGAATGAAAAGTAACAAAAGAAATGCTGATACTCGATAAAAAGAAAATGAATACGACGATATGATAATCAATTCATGTATGAGATTAAACTTGAGCTTGGAATTGTTCCATACAACAAAACATATTACATATATATATGTATATGTAATATGTATACGTCATATATACTTGAAATAAAACGCGATCACAGATATTATCCGATCGACAGGTTGGATAAGAGCACGTAATATGAGTCGCTTCTATGTTCGTTATGTCATCCCTGAGTTTTCTTTGATAAAATTGCTTCCAAAAGCCATTCTCGGTGCTCCCATGCTACGTGTCACGTTAAATCGTTCATGACATCCAGTCAATATTACACACAAGTGTTTCTTTACACTTTAAGGATCTCACCCTATTCCATATCCTCCCCCTCCTCCTCTACCCTCTTTCTCCTTCTTTTCGCAATAATAAGAAATGAAATCTATTTTACAAATTGAAATGAAAACAAATCGTTCCTTTTCCCCTAACAACAGCTTTAAAGTACTTATTGAAATAAATAAGTACGATTATATGAAATTAGAATAATGAATCTTTTTTTTTCTGCTTTTTATTTCTTTCATTTCATTTACTTTTAATCGTTGTTTATTATTTTCATCAGTCTTGATTATTGAATACTTTCTCGTTAATGTTAATTGTGTTGATTAAATATACCGAGTGAAACTAACAATAAATTATTATTTTAATATTTCATATACATCAATATTAAACAATGAATAAACATTTGTTTCAAATATTCATTATTTATTAGGAACGATTAAATTTACAGCATAGCTTAATTTGAACATTAAAACTATTGCATATAACTTATTTAATATATTTGGATATAAAAACTAAACTCAATAAATATAAGAATCTGTTAAAGTATGAAACAAGACTTGACGCATATATGCGTTCATAGAACTCAAAGGACTAAATATTTGTTGCAATATAATGATTACATAAGACACTATTGATGTCCGACTTAAAAAAAAAAACAAATAAATAAAATAATTACAAGATAAAATGTAAGAAACAAAAAATGGACATATTTCTCTCTTGAAGATATTTTGAGACATTTAATTTATCGGTCTGACACGTCTAAGGATCAATTCGATTGTTCTTCCTTTCAAGATCGTGGTAGACGTAAAGTCTCGACAACAATACGTTTTCTCTTGCAAACATTTCACCACGGCTTTCATGGTTTTCTCGAAACTCGTGTAATTGAAGTGTTGTTTAGAGTAAGATTCGTTGAGTGGAATGTTTGCTTTACGTAATCGTGACTACTCGTCGTTTTGAAATAATATTTTTGGAAAGACTGATATCAAAAAGAAATCACACAGATGAGATGAGAAAGAGAAAGAGAAAAAAAGAGAGAGAGAAATAGGTGGAAAGAGAGAAACACAAAAGGGCGTAAAGAGAAAGGTTTAGTGAGACGAATAATAATTAATTTGCTCATCTTCTTATTAACGTCTATAGTTGCACCAGCCAATCCCCTTTTCAAACTTTAAGAAAGTCACCCTTTCGTAACATGATTAGACACGCTTGTAATTAGAATGTTCTAGTAATTAAGATAAAGCTAGTAAAATCAATTTATTTACATTTAGGAACGATACTTTTCTGAGTATTAAGAAATATTAGTAATTAAGTTGTGTTAATCAAGCATAAAATATGATATTATAATGTTTTAAACTTTCGAGTTAATTGTAACAAATCGTTCCTGTTGAATATTTTTGTAATCGTTGTTTTTCAATTTACAGAAACAAAAATCAAGTATCATCGACTCTCAACACATCGTCATAATACTTATTGTTTTTTCTCTCATCATTTTTGGCATGAGCTTCGCGTTCTTCTTCAATTGCGTGCGGAAACTAATTCGTGATCATCGTATCATTCAGGTCAGTAAAAATTGATTTTTATTGGACAACGAAATTAAAAAAGATATAAATTAAAAATGAACTTTCTATGGGAAAGTTATCGTCCTTTTATCGAGTTAACTCGCGAATTGTGAGTCATGCCGCGTCGCTTTCGACGTAGTATCTTCGGGATTTCAATTACGCAATACACGTAGCAGCATTTCGTTCGATTCTCGCCTCGATCGACTCACGTATCTACGAGTAGAGACGTGCCTAACATTCACCCGTTTTCGAGCAAAAAAAAAAAAACAGAAAAATAAGGGAGAAAGAAAAAAAATATATAGGTAACAAAGTTTATTAAAAACCACACGAATGGATTTTGGAGATATTTACAAAATAAAAAATTCAACTTAAAATATAAATTTTAATAACAACGAGAGTAATGAATTTTTACCCTTAGAAAATTCGTTTAAATAAAATATACTTGTTTCGTTATTTATTCATTGGTTCTTGATTGGAGCACTACTGGTATCATATTCTATTAGTAAATTTGTAAAGATCGTTATGGAAATGAAAGAATAACAAATTAATTAGAATTGTACACGTTTTAAAAGATACATTGATTAAAAGACATTTAAAAAACTATTGAAAAAGTTGTCAGATGTAATCTTCAAAATAGAATAAATCTATTAGAAACAATAGATACGAGAGGAGAATTCATCTAACGATAATCTAACTTAACCATTGCCTTTTATCTGTCCAGGAACACATAAGACAATCTAGAGAGAATCGATTGGATGAACTAGGTCGTAAATCTACTCCAAGGCCACTCTCAACTTCGAGAACAGACATAAGAGACCGAGGTAGCGAATCACCAAGCTTAGAAGTGGTGCCGAGTAAAGAATTATTACCACCGAGCACAGTGATACCAGAAGAATACACGGTAGCTTATAACAATAAAATCACTTACAATGGTCGAGACATGAACGACATACATCAAAGTAATAATGTAAGCAACGCGACTCAAGAACGTTTGCAGGAGTCAAACGACGAGCCAGAAATGCGAGATAATTCGTGTCAAACTAGGGAAAGTTTGTTCGAGCCACGATTATCAGACACCATAGTAACTCCAGCGTTCACGACTTTCGGATTTCGGGGCTCGCAAAATGGGACCAATTATCATCGTCATCACCATCACCATCATCATCATCACCCGCAAAGTCCGCAAAAGTCACATCCAAGTCCATCGCTTTCGCATCAGAGTTCTCAACAATCTTCTCAACCGAGTTCGCATCACCAGAGCAGTTCTCAATGTTCGGGGTGTAGTCCAGCATCGAGAGGGCGAGATGGTAGTATGGGTGTCTGTCCAAAGCACAATCCAATTCCAGCACCACCAGGATGGTCGACGCACGAGTTGAGTTATCCTCCTCAACATCAATCCGGGCAATATCAAGAAGTCGCAGACTATCCTTCCTATCAGAGATTTCAAAGTCCAAAACCTAGCGGAGAATGTGGTACCTATCATCAGTCTCCTAAATTCGTCAGACAAAATACTGTTGGTTCTGGTGAAAGGTACGGTAGTTCAGTTTATGGTTCTGGTCAAAGTTCCGCACAAATTTCTGGCCATGGATCGAGCAATGTAACATCGAGTACACAACACACGACGTCTTCTAAATCCCAACAGCAACAACAACAACAACAACAGCAACAGCAGCAGCAGAAGCAGCAAGTCCCAAATGACCCGAGATATAAAGCCGAAGCTATCATAGAGATCGATCAAAGGAGACCATTCAGCATAGAGAGCACAAAATCTGCCCCGGACGTTATAGCGACGCACTGACGCCGGGGCTGTGGGGATTGGGAGCCCTATAGGAGACGCCATCCCCGTAAAAGCATAGAAGACACTAAAGAAATTGAAGAAGAAACAAATAGCGAACGAGTTAAAGTAACTGTTGGTACTCAAAGTTCATTGGACGATGACACATCGACCAATTCGACGATAGAACAAACTTCGTCCTCTTGATCCGCGCATCAAACTGTCGTAGTCGATCCACCGGAGTCTTTCATCGACGAAAAAGACATCTCTAATACACCGTCTATAACTATTTTACCTAAGACACAAAAAATAAATCTATTCAATGAACTCGCTCTAGCAAGATTGTCTCCGAGATTGGACGATTTACCGATCCTAAAACCACCCGGTGACTTCGGAGCGCCTGTCTTCAAGTGCAAAACACCTTCCCTATCCTGGCAGCACTGTGGCTGTCCTTCTCATTCTCATTTACCATCTCGAAGATCGACGATCACCTGGAGTGCCTTGAAACGTTGCGGACAGGACGCCTTTTATCGCACTTGGCCTAATCGATCCGCTAAAAGGCTGCCAAGACCCCAGAAGAGGACCGTCGGTACTCAGAGTTCCTTCGACGGTGTTAGATCATCGCTTGGTACTTTTCGTTGCGTGTCCAGGTCGATCGATATGACCACGACTACGATGGATCAGGAGATTGGGGTATCTATACCTTTCTAACGATGGATTTATATGTTATACTTTTCCGCCGATCGTTTTTTCCATGTTTTCTCAAACTTTTCTTTTCTTTATTTTCTTCATATTTTTGCTTCTATTATTTTTTAATTAATCCTTATCCTTGTTCTCATATCGAGTCTAAACGAAAATGAAATCACAAATATTCCACGTTGAGATTCTCAGGAAGAGCGGACAAATGAGAGAGAGAGAGAGAGAGATATCCAAAGAAATGATTTTCAAAGCATTTTTAACGATCGTCCAAAGGCTGTACGTAAAAAAGAAAAACAAGAATATCGCTCTTTCATTCCTGTTACTGATGTGAGAGAACATCCTCGAAGAAAAGAAATAATATCATATGATCTGAAAGATCATGTCCGAGATTCTAATCGGCAGAAATTTTCTATCTCGTTGTTAAATAAAGTAGAAAAATTAAAAGCATATAATTGATAAGAAAAATCACTGCCTTCGATTCCTAAAAAAGAATAAGAAGAAGAAGAAGAGTTATACGAGATCTAATTTGCGAACATTCATGAGAGAGAATGAAAATACAATAATAAAAGAGAACGGCCTAATTCGTAATGGAATTCTTTCGTGAAGTAACATATCGAGAGAAAGAGAGAATGAATTCGTTTCTCGACAAAAATCGTCGAGCACCGTAATTGCCTAAATTTCGAAGGGTAAAATAATAAAAAAGAAACAAACAAACAAACCAAAAAATAATAATAATGATGATGATTATAAATATAATAATATCTAATATTAATATATAAAAATATTATAATGAATAATATAAATAATATTAATAGTAATAAAATAATATTATACAAATAATATTAATAATAATAAAAAATAATGAAAAGATATATAAGAGACGAGATAATCGACGACTATTCATTCAGTCAGTCAGTGAATGTGAAACATACGCGTACACGAACTTTTACGATCGAAATATATATTATACTACTAAGAATATATATACGTACGTATGTATGTATGTATGTATATATGTATGTATATACGTAAATGTACGATACATATAGAACAAATCTGTCTTCTCCGTGTTCGATCAACGTTCGACGTTGAAAAGGCCTTAACTTGCTCTCCGAGAGAAGATTCCATCGTTTCAAGCAAGGAAGGAAAGACGATTTCCTTCGAATTGCTTTTCGCCAAGGATGATGACTACTCTCAGAAGAGCGTTTATCTTTCTCGAATGAAAAGTTTCTATATACATATATGGGAACTTAAGTACATTGATAATATGCGTCTAACGCGTACCAATACATGCTATTGTACTTTAACGAGTGATTATGAGGATCGATCAAAATAACAAAATGTGTTTTAAAAGGAAAGATAAAAAAAAAAGCAAAAGAAGAACGATCATTTCTCAATGATCCATTATAACGATCAAAGATTCGTGCGTTTATATCTAACGACTGTACGATATTTCAAAACGGATATTATTTTTCCACGTAATACAAAAAAAAAAAAAGAAAGAAAGAATTATTCATCGTTTTAACGAGTCGGTTTGCGCACACACGGCGACAGGAACTCATTGAGAATACTGCATTTATAATTACGTATATCCTCTTATTAATCTGCTATTTTTATGCCTAATTAGCATTCACAACCAGCTTCGTGTAGTATCAGAAAGTGCATTTTCCATGAACAATAAATATAATTAACGAGAAATCTCGTCTAAATGAGATTATTATACATACGTTAGATCGATAAGTATAGTTTATTGATAAACGAATTTTCATTATAGGGTCATGCTAATTTATGTAAGTACTTATTCATTGAAGTGAATATCTTTTTGATTATCCTCAGGATCTTATAAATCTTATCTACTCATGTGTGTGTGCTCATACTGTGCTCCTCGCGATCAGGAGAGTGACTAAATTAGTCAATTAACTATTTCGAAAAAAAAAAAGAAATAATCAAATGAACATGAAACTGCAAGCTCAGCAAAGTTCTATCATGAAAAAGAACAATGTTAAAATATAGATACATACAGAAGTGAAGAGATACCGATCAATACTTGATATTCCCGTTTGTGTACAGGTTAACGATTAGCAATTTAGGTCTTTAATGTACAGAGTGTACACATTTGTATATAATTTCTCTATAAACACTTTAATAAGCTGATAAGAGTAATAAATATAGTACTTTTAAAGTAAATACTGTTTGACTTCATGCACCCTTTTCCTATCCCTAAATATAAACTAAAAAGTGCTTATGATTTAAAACCAAAAAAAGAAAAAAAAAGAAAAAAAAAGAATATATTCTTATATAAAAAAAAAGATTAAATAAAATGTAATTTGAATTAGAATTTAATTCGTTTATAAGATTAATTACGAACAAGCATAAAATTATTTGCTCAATTTAATTTCAAAGTTTTTAGATCATTGTGGAAACAAACTAACGTAGACTAAGCGCGTCTATTGAAATTTTACAAGAGTAGAAAGGCGTATGAAAAAGCGAAAAATAGGAGAGGAAAAAAAGGGTAAGAGAATAGATTGTTCTGCGGTTTTCTCTGATTTGAGGAATTTTCGTGACGCGAGAGCGAGATCAACGAAACGTGAATAACGAAGACAGATGGGACAAATCGCGCAAAACGCAAACACGGGACGTTTCTCCTCCGAAATTATGGCTTACAGGTTTCTCTCTCAGTTGCTCCTATACCTAACATACACAATTCATACCTGACTATGCATATACTTATATGTATGGGTATTACATATAAGTGTATACATATGTATATTCCGAAGTTTTATCTCTTCCACATAATATATAATTTATGTGTGCGTACCTCGTGGTCTTACTCAGTAGAGAGTACTGCCGGAGAACGGTAAAATGACATTTTTAATGGCGTATCCCATCTCGCTTCGTTCCATCAAAAACGTCACTCCCAAATTACGCTTCTTGGCAAGAAAGCACCGACTCTGGGAAAATCGAATGCTACGATAGTAATTTAGTGAGCTACTCTCACCATTCTACTCTTCCTTCTTTTTTCATTCGCCATTCATTTTTTGGTCTCTTCTTTTTCATTTGCACTACTATTACTTTTTCACGTGTGCGCACTTGCATATGCGAAAATTTTACCCAGGATCATGATAAAATATAATATGAGTACATTTTTTCCCGTGATCATTATAACGTCTTCCTTTGTTATGATACGAGTAATTTTTTATTCATTTTTTTTTTTCCTAACTTTTGTATCTTTACCATGAAACTTTTTACGTGTGATATTTACACACAGGAATAAAAAAAATTCTATCCAGAAAAGTGATTGATTAACAATGATCAAATATACAAACGGACAACTTTTTTTTTTCTATGACTATTAGAAAAAATATTGTTTAATATGATACGGAATAATTGATGATAATTAATATTTCAAATTCATTATTGATTACCAATAAATTTGAAATGGAACAGCTCGCCGATTATCCAATTGTATCTTCCAGTTTGATCCAAATTAGTAGGACAATTTAGCAATCAGTGGATCCACTCGTGGGAATTTCGGAAGGTCCACTAAGACGAGATACGTATTGCAAACTATAACAGGAGTGTAATGTAACTGTGAATTCAAGAGTACATTGCAATAGGGATTCAATATCGGGTAGGTACTTGACCGACAATCGATTCTATCGAGTATTCATACGTCTAACTGTATGGTCCTTAATCACTTATGGTTACAGAGATATTAACTATAGGTGCAACTCAATTTTTCAAGTTCGATCAGACTATTTTTTCATGGATTTTACTTCCAAAGTTTTAACGTTCAAATATATATATATATATATGAATATTATCGTTCAAAATTTATATGATATTTATTGTATTAATCATTTCAAATATAAATGAAATACAAATAAATATTTAGTCTGATGAGTCAAGCAATTCAATGATCAACAAGATTTCTATTTAGATCAGCAAATTTCTTCATATACAATATGAGATATAAACTTTGTATGGTTCAAACTATCAAAAGTTTTACCCACAAGTTTGATCGTTCGATCATGTGGAACAATGGCACTATACATCACTCTGTTTTTCCAATTATATCGTAACTTCTATCGTTTGTCATATCTCGCCAATATAATAACGATCTCTCGTTATTCGATATTTGATGTTTCGCGAATTTTTTCATACAATTTTTACGTATATTGTATATATATATATATAAAATAAATCTGTATATACGATAGGGAATAAAAGAAGCACATAAAAAAAGAAGAAAATACGCGTATAGCGATTTTGATGTATATTTCTAAACCAAAAAGCAAGAACATGTGTCGGATTAGTTCGTATGGTAAAATTCGTTATAAAAACGAAGCAGTGGTTTTGGCATAGAGTTTTATCTGATATTTGTGTTAGTGATTCTGATATTAGAATAAATAAAAAAAAAAATCTAATAAATTGATTTGATAATTTATTTTATATTACAATAATAATAAAAAAAAATTAATGTTTTTAATTATTCGAGAGATTTACAATTAATTAAATTGTTATAATTTACCAATACCTTTTTATTTCATAGTCAGAATATTATTACGTAAATATAGATCTACTATAATAATTAACTGATACAAAAAAATTAAAATGGCAATCATTACAATTATATGTAAATAATCGATTTTATTACTCTCTCTTTCTATACGTTTCGTGTATAAACTTCACAACATTCTCGATAAAGTTCACGATTGCTTGAATTCGGTTGGTCTTTAAAATTTAAATCGACACTGCGTACGTTCATGAATGTATGCATAACGAATATAAAACTAACACTTGCGCTTACATAGTACCAACTTTCCTTTGAAAGGATGCATTGATAGGAAAGAGATTAACCGACCGATTGAACTGGAGATATTTTCAAACGAATGGTACCAACAAAAAAAAATGGAAAATTCACGTCTGATTTTTTGAAATCTTTGAATCAAACCTTTATTTTATTTGCATTATTTTCTTTGTTCGCAGCAACGACAACAACAACAGACAGTAGGAGCTTAAAAGGCCCATGTATATGTATATTAGATATAATAGATAAGTAAATGCATATACATGTATGCATTCAATGTACCATCGATACTTTTGATCATCGATAAGTCACGAAGTTCGTACAATCTGTGTAATCGACTGATTTTCAATTTTTCTTGTTTAACATGTTTTTACGAAAGAAAAACAATACGTAACAAGTATGTATATTGATAGGATTTAATAAATTGCGATATGTCAGCAAAATATATGATTAAAATAAAATTGACATGAGTTGACAGTATAAAAGTAAAAGTTGTCATACGAAGATGAAAAAGAATCAAAAGACTGCTTCCAATTAACATTAATTGATAAAACAATACTAACCGTATTATTTGTTTATTTTTTGTAATCATATTTTATAATTACTAATAATTAAAAAATTAATTATTAGAATTAGAAAATGTATTTCAATATTAATTTATCAGAAGAACAATTAACTAAGAGAATATATCTGAAATAAAATCAATATTTGGTTAATTAAGTTTGTCAAATAATACTTTGAACAAAAAAATATTAAAAAGAAGCTTCAATTCAATATAAATAGAAATATATGTATATCTTACGGTAAATGTAGAAAATCCGGGAATTGTATAAAATGTGTAGAAAATTTTGATCAATCTGGAATATATACTTTAGTTGGCTGAGATTAGATCACGAAGGGGGGGGGAGGAGAAAAGTGTTTA